CGGCGTGGTGTTACTTGTTTGCTGTTTTCGCGATCGCGTCGCACATGAGGATATCACCAGGTAAACTCGCCACATTTTTAAACATTTTGTTGTTCAACAACATCAAGACATTTGGCTTTTTTTTTCTTTTTCTTTTTTTCTTTTGCTGGTTTGTCGGTAGCAGCTCCTGAAATGCAAGACTGTCACACATCTGTTCGACCAACGCCAGTAGATCTGGAACACAGGCTGTTGCAGCAGCTGTCTTCATAAGCGCCCCCCTCCCCCCCCTTCTTTTTGTTCCTACTATCCAGTATTTATCCATCATAACTCTGTTTCTACACTCAGTGAGTGCATGTTGTTTGTTGTATATTTCCTGCTATGAAAACTTAGTTTTCCTCTGGGATTAATAAGGTTTTTCTGATTCTGATGTTTGTGATGTTAGTACGAGGCACAATAATGCTACACAATAAAATGGTCTGCAGTAGTGCCTTATAATAATACAATAAATTTAACTGGCTTAAATATAAAAATCTTTTTTCTGTCACAGGCGACTGGCAGCAGGCGAAGAGTCTGCAGGAGGAGCATCTCAGCACCTGTAGTCAGAAACATTGGTTCTTCACTGAAGGTGACAAAGAAAAATCGCCAACATTATTCTACAGATATTAATTGGTTGTTATTTTAATAATAATAATAACATCTAATTCTGTACACAGTGACATTTTGCCTGTTTATCCCAAATGAGAGACAAATCACTGCTGAAGAAAAATAATGTTCTCAACCTGCTTACATTAAATCAATGGATGGATGAAATTAGCCGTTTTTAACCCTTCCGAAAATAAGCTTCTCAAGGATCAGTTTTTGGTCCTGGATTTTTTTTTAACCTTTACACACTCTACATGTTGTATAATAAAGTATCTATTAATATGTTCTAGTGTTGCACATGATACATTTTTCACAGCTGATACACAGTTGTGCTTTATTTCCTCTGATAATCTCTGATAGCGTATTTTGTAAATAGTATTACATCCTCTGCACACTTTGGCTGCTCTGAAAAAGAAGGCAACAAACCAGAGAAGTTTGACTCCCTGGAAGAACTTATAAGTACACCTACACTGAAGACTAATTCATGCTTCTTTTAACCTGGACAAGAAAAAGCTCTCTGTAAAGTTATGAAATCTTAGTAAATGAGGAAAACAGGAACAGCTCTGTAGCCAGGCTGACTAAGCCACAGGTCTAATGGTTAGACACACCTTCTCATGATTTTTCTGTTTTATAATGACTTTTTACATTATAGATTCTAATTGAAACCAACACGGGGGCTAGGTCACTAGCGCCGTTAGAACACCGGACTCCCGGCAAAT